ATTACGCCGGTGGGAAGAAGAAGGGCTGCACATGGAGGGTCCGGAGGTGGGTGAGGAAGGCAGTCTGCAGCGGGGCAATATCGCTGTGAGTGCTGGCTGTGCCAGAAAACGCGATTGCCCCATGCAGGAAGAGCAGACCCCCCCCGAACCCGCAGCCTGTGCTCAGCCCACCCTGCCGGTGTGCTGCCATGCTGCTATTGGGGACCCCCTGTTCGCACCCTGCTCCCCAAAACTGGGTGGAGAGCTCAGCTGTGCACCCAGCAGGCGAGAGACTTGGCGTTTCCTGAATGGAGCTGAAAATGCCTGGTTAAAGGGGGAAAATAACATCGCTACCATTTACTTCCCTAAATTAAAAATGAATGCGGCTCTCTGCGGGATACAGTTCAGTGGGGGAAAATCTCATGGGCCTCTTCATGAGATGGTCAGAGTGAACAGCCTCAATAGAGGGAAAAAAGAACGGATTCTGCAAAGGACAAACGACGTTGGGATCAAGCCTCCCTGCTCTCCACCCAAGCCGCTGTTGCAAGAAGCTTCTGTCAAAAGAAATAATGAGCAACTTGGTTTTTAAAGTGTTCTTCCCCCGCTGGTATTGTTCTGGTTCTGCAATTCCCTTTCTGAGAAGGGGAGTTAGATAAATGCTGCCCTGGCGCCTGTTCCTGTGCAGCCCTAAAGGCAGTGAAGAAGCGGATGACACTTGGCAGTTGTCATGACCGTGCGTGTCGGTGTCCCCGTCGATGTCCCCGGCGCTGTGGCAGCCTGCGCTGGGGGAAGGAGTCGCTGCTGGAAGGAGAATGGTGGTGTTTGCTGCTGTATGAGCAGAAACCTCAATATTTTCATGGTTATGTTGAAAGAAGGAAGTTAAATATGACCAGTGTTTTGATACTGGTTGGGAGATAAAAGCAGAGGACTGAAACTCAGAGCTCCTGGACTCTGCTGGTGGCTGTGGGACGAGTGTGGCTGAGGGAGGAGGAAGGCTTTTGGGCTCTGCCATTGATTTGGGCTGCTTCTTGTGTCTCTGGACCCCTTAAGGTGGAATTGCCAGAAGCGACTGTGGATCTCGCCCTGTGAGGTCTCCAGCTGGAGATAGGCTGGAATTGTTCCAGAGGTCTCCAGTCCCCACAGAGCAGAAAATGGCAGCTTTGCTGTACAGCTGGTGGGAGAGATCCCCAACAGGGGACACTGAAAAAGGGGCCACATAAAGCAAATTTGGTCTTAACTTGTTTGTGCACTCTCTCTAGCTACATATAAGTTCTGCTGCTTTCCACAGGAAGATGAAGCCTTAAGGTATTGGTCAAACTTGTTTCTGGTGTAATCTCACCAAAGGTGTAGACTTAATGCCTGTAGCTCATTTACTCCCTAGCACCAAGGTGCCTTCAAAGCCCTGCAGACAAGTGTGAAACACCATCATGACCAGAAGCTTTGAAGCTGCGGTGCAGGCAGGATCCGGGGAGTCCTGTGCTGATTAAAACTTCCTTTTATTTTTTTTCTATTTTTATAATTGGGTTTTGTCAGGTGTGCGAGGAGCAGAAGTGCGAAGAAGAGGTCTTCCCCTTGGCCATGAATTATGTGGATCGCTACCTGTCGTCAGTCCCCATGCGGAAAAACCACTTGCAGCTTCTGGGAGCCGTCTGCATGCTCCTGGCTTCCAAGCTGCGAGAAACCATGCCCCTGACTGTGGAGAAACTCTGCATTTACACAGACAACTCCATCACGCCTCAGCAGCTCCTGGTAACCACCCCTATCTCAAAGAGCCCTCTACCTCCTCCCCAGCTCTCTTATCTCCTGCATCCTGCTACTTGGCAACATACCTGCCTCCGTGTCTCCTCCTGTTCTCTTTCTCCCATTTCTTCGCCTTCTTCTGCAATCCCCAACCAACCTTCTCTCCTCTTGCCCTGGTGGGTGTGATGTCTCTTGGTGGAGACCTTTCTGTCCTCCCTGTTGCGAGAAGCAGAATTGTCACCTCCAGATTTCAGAGAAAGTTCCTTGTTCCTTAAGCGCTCGTTGCCAGCGCGGAGCTGCCACGCTGAGCTCGCTCCCGTGCGCTGGTTCGCTCTCGAGTGACGGCTCTGGAGAACAAAGGTTCCTGTCTGCGCAGCCGGAGGGACGCGAGGCGGGGGCTGCCGTCGGGGCGTGTGGCTCTCACTTGCCCCAGCTGCAAAGGGCCACGATGTGGGAGATGGATTTCCACACCAGTAGGAAAACCAAAGTTTTAAGTGAAGAGTTTTATCCAGCAAAATGGGTGGGAGCTTTTCTCACCTGGGATCCAGCTGGCTGGATCCACCACCCGCTGCCAAGGTGGTAGACGTGAGTGGGACCTTGCTGCTGCCCGCAGCCTGCTCCACACCCTTGAGTCAAAGCAGGACTACCTCGCCTCTCCTGCTGTACACTCGGGCAGAAGCTGTGTAGGCTTTGAAAGGCAAAGCGTTTTCATGGCCGATACAAGTTCAAAGCAAAGATCCAAACCTCTGAGTTCAACTTCGCCAATGGGGGAGGAAGTTGGAGAACCCCGTTTCTTGGGGGCCTTCCGTGCTGGTAGATCAGAGCCCTCGGGAGGAAACGGCCACCTCGCTTCGAGTGACAAACATCCCTGGAGACGGTTTGCCTGTGAGAATTTCTCGGGGTTAGTCATCGCCTTGTTAAATACCTATTTTTTTGGGCTGGGTGGGTGAGATGATCTGAGTGTGATTTGTCCCCAGGGTGGGGAGTGAGCCCACAAAACTTTCAGGTGTGAATCGGAAGGCAGTTCTGATAGCTGGGGAACTCTGGTATGAACATGGTTTTTCCAAGTGCCAGTGAAGGCTGGGGAAAATCCCCTCGCCTCCATACCTCTCTGCCTGTAGTCATTTGGGGCTGGTTGTTGCCTTAAGTAGCACTCACGGAAAAAGTACGTGGAACATTACCAGGAGTAGCGGTGAGGGATGGGAATGCACGGAGCAAACGCAACTGGTTGTTACTTCTCTGGATGCTGCACTGTGATTGTGCAGGGGGCTGCCATGAAATCTTTGTGTGCAAAGGCTTCCTCCTGCTTTGCCAGTAAAGCTTCATCCTTGAGGGCACCTCAGCTGTGGGTATCTTCCCAGGATGGGCATCCGTCACATGAAGCAAATCCCAGCCTGCAGCGGAAAGGTTCCTGTTGGCCCTGTGATAATAAGGGAGTTAACGTTTAGCTGGGAAAAAAGGCAGGGGGGAATGGGAGCTGGTTTGCATTCACCTTTCTGCTGGGCCAGCAAAAGTTGCCTCTGTTGCAGAGGCAACAAGCTGAGCAGAAGGTGCCTAACGGTGGTCTTGTAGGCAAGCGGGCTGCGTTTCAAGGCAAGGATGGTGCTGTGTTCTTGGGAGCGTGAAGCTGATCAAAATGCATGTTGTGGGCCAGTGTCAGATTTCTTTCCCTTGGGAGTGATGGATAAGTTCTCTGTCCAACAGGAACGTGAGTTGCAGGAAGGTGAACTTACTGCCACGCTTCACCTCCATCTCCCTCTCCAATTCAGACTTTAAAGGGAGTCCTGCCATCATCATCCCTGCAGACTAGGGGAGATCATCACAGCAAATTCTAGTGGTTTCTGCAGCGTGGACCTTGGGCTACAAGGAATTGGACTTGGTCGGCACCTTGTGCATGTCTCCCATGGATCCCATTTTTATTTCATTCTGATTTATTTGTTGATACATTCTTGGTGAGGGTTTGGTTTTTTTCAGTGGAATCTTGAGCTTTGTTTGTAGCAGGCTTCCTCCAAAGGAGAACAGTTAGGAGGTGAGCAGGAGCACGTGCACCATCCCTGGAGGCTTTCCTTCACTCTAGAACTCAAATGCTAATGCCTCCTCACTGAGTCTTTTTTATTTCTTCCCCCCAGAGGTTTG